AAGTAACGTATATTCTGGATTGATAATCCCTTTTGCTGAAAAGGCATATTGTGTGCTCACAACATTCTGTATTTTTCCGCGTGTTCTCACTTTAATAGCGTTATTATGAGTGTTTCAGTTACTGGCAGAAACAAACAATTAAGTGCAGTTGTTTATAGTAATTACTTGTAATGCTGCAACACTGGCTTTATAAAATGGCATAAACATAGTTTAGATAACTCGGGTAGATTTAAGCAGTAGACCACACTTTCTATGGGTTTACCGGCGTGATAACCCACTCGAAAGCGCGTAAATCACTCGCCTTTAGCTTTTGATTTACAAGCTTTTCTCTTGTTCTCCCAACATACCAAGTGGGTTATCACGCCGGTAAACCCATAGAAAGTGTGGTTTATTGCTTTTATAAAACGACTTAAAGTTTTCTATCAGTTTGCCGGCACAATAAACCATAGCCAAGATCAGAATTAGTGTATACTATTTTAGTTATTTTATAAATATTGAGATAAACATTGCTGAAACAAACAAAAAAGTATCGGTTTATTTCATTCTGACTGTAGCTGGAAAAACGCAACTTGTTACTATTAATTTTTGTAGTTGCAATAAAGTAGTGCGCCACCACGTTTGATTACCAAGGAACCTTGGACTTAAACATCTTTTGTATGATAACTAATATGATCCTATTACTCATCCTGAAAAAGTCGTTATGTGCTGGGACTTTTTCTTCTTTGACTACTGAATGAATTAATAGATTTTGTAAACAAGGCATAAAAGAATTACTACTGCGAACATAATGATATATTTATGGAAAATGTTAATATTTATAAAAGGGTCACATCTTGTTTTTTTCTGGTTGTGATGGCAGTTAGTTTAGGGAATTGTCAACTTAAGTTTCTGGAATTGTTTGAAAGATTCTTGTGATTTTAGGCTAACTTCCTGGCATATAATTATTTGGCTAGCCTGCGAAAACATCTGTTTCTCCTTGCTCTTCGCTGCCGGGGACGTTTTGCGACGAGGAACGTCTGTGACTCAGTGGCAGAAACTCCACACTGATGACGCAAACCAATGTTTACATAATAAATTCAGTAATCATGGGGTTCCAAATACAAATTTGTCCAATTTTACGTGTCTTCTGGTCGATTTCGTAAAGTGTTGTGTTCATCTGCCAATGAACTGCAGCAAAACTCAAATACTTCTTCTAGAGAAGACTATATTCCACATATTGACTGTTTTGTTAGAGATTCTTCGTGTTTACATTTGTCTTTTGTCTTTCGTCTGTCATTCGTAAACAATAGCTAAAACAATGTAACTACTCCTTCGACCAATCAGCGATTCTGACTGGATTCCAGACAGATTTTACGTCATCATTATGGAATTTCTGTCGCTGAGTTGCAGATGTTCCTCCGGGTGAAACGTCCCCATCGGCGAAGAGCATGGAGAAACGGATGTTTTCGCAGGGTAATATTATTTTGGCTGATATTACAGTGCACACATAATATATAGCAGTCTTTGAGATAAGTGCACAACCATGCATGATCATCAAATTGGATGGGCTGAATAAATCCTATTCTGAACAAAAACGTTCAGGTATTCCTAAAGCTAGGAAACCTTGCAATTTGGCACTAATCTTGTTTGTCACAACGCATCCTAATCTGCTGTTCCTGTGGCACTATGGCAGAAATTTTCAAGCTACCACAGGCGACTGCAAATTAGCTGCCCCTATTAAATTTATCGGGGCTACTAACTTTTTGGACTTGGTGACCACTTTGGAAAATTTAGGAGCCAAATGTCTCCTTGAGAAAAAAGTTAATTTTGTACCCTGCTGTTATAATAACTTTTGTGGTAATCTACCTTTACAACATATATATTTGTATCGCAGTGACATTTAAGTAGCCTCATTCTAAATACCAACATTACTACAGCTAACTATTGACGCATAGAAAAAAATACCTTATGGCAAGACATCATGTATAAAGCATAGATTGTATTGGATGTAGTCTGCTTCCCATATTTTTCCTTACATTTATAAATTTCATTTTTGTATTTTCTGTTTTAACACAGTGATGAACATACAAACATAAAATGTTTCTCTTAGTGTCTGCTATTTTTGAGTCTCTATTTGTTTAATATACATCTGTAAATTATTAAATATGAAATAAATGAATACTGTTTTATAAATAGTAATGATTGTTGTTGTGCTTTGGATGTTGAATGTACCTAATTATAATGTACTGATGTTTTTGAAATAAAAAAATGCAACAATGTTACATTAGCCATTATCTTTTCTCTGACTATAGTTGCATGTACAGGAGATAAATTAATAAACACCTCTCACACCTCATTTCTTACTTTTTATTTGTGATATACGGTGTATTCTAGATTAAAATTTTTATCTAAATTTGGAACTGATGACAACAAAGTCTGACAAAAATAATGTTTGATGCATATGCACTTTCATTCTTCCTGTGTAATGGGGGGTGCCAATTAAATAAATGCACCTTTTTTCATTCCTAGTTCCAAACTTCAGAAGGGACTAATTCCATACACTCTGTACTTTCCTACAAGCAGTTGATAGTGTGGACATTGTCATGTAGATTAGTGATTCATTTATTTTATTTTGAACTTGTGTTTATGTTACAAACTGACATTATAAAATTACTGTTTACTTAGTTTCCAGAAGTGAAAAGGGTATTTAATTATTACAGTACATGGGGCTTAAATTTCAATGGTATTGCATTGAAATTGTTTTTTTGGCAACAAAATTGTTTGTTCATAAAGCAGGTCTGCATGCTCATGTGACTATTAGTAAACGTTATTTTTAGCACATGGTGTCAAATTGGAAATTGCATAATATTATACAAGATACACACTGTTATTTTCCAGCTTGGTCACGGTTTTCATATGAATTTATTAACTATAGAGCTCTGCAGTTATTGAATTTTAATGTCTATCTACAGTGTTCTTGTTGACGACAATCATGGAAGGTGCATGTTAAGTATCTTATTACTAAACAAGGTAAAAGAGTAGAAATTAATGTTTGGCTGCCTGCAGTAAAACTTGATAGTAACTGCATCCAGCACTCTGTATAAGAAATCACTTATAGTTCCAATCTTCGCTTATTGACAGCATGTCTGGTCAATCAGGTGCTGTAACAAATGTGATATAGGTAAACTTAAATGCCTCCTGCACCAAGCCGCTAGAATTGTAGCAAAGTCTGATTCAAGCAACTGTGCAGATTTTAAATTAGGACACCCTTAAAATCAGAGAGACAAGCATGTGCCTAAGGCTGTCAAGAAATGTTATAGTAACAATGTTCCACCGCTTAAAATAATTACATTACAGTTGAACCTCGCAGCCATCCTTGGGGTACCAGCAAGTGGCAAAAAATATTGTAATAATAATTGTAATTGCAATTAGTAAAATCCAGCTAGTGGTGTATTATCAATGCTGCGTTCTGATTGGTTGAGCAACTACTAGGCTATATGTCATAGCCCACTAGTAATGAAAACGCCGGCTTTTAGGTGGCAGAAAAAGGATTAAAGTCTAGCTGTACCAGCTAAAGTTGTTTTGTCTCAATATTTTTGACCAGCTAGTTAGATTTTACTAAAACAATAATTATTCCTATCGCCCTCATGGCTTCTGTGTCAATAGCCCATGAGGCCTTCGGCCTCATGGGCTATTGCCGGGCTCAAGGAATAATTGTTAATTATCTTATTCACTCCCCTCGGAGCTAATTTACAGTACTGATTGGGGGACCTTGCCAGACTGCTTATGGTGTAGTTTACAACTAATGAAGGGATGAGTAATGATGCCCCCCCCCCCCCCCCCCCCCCCCCCCCCCCCGCACATCACAAAAACCACACCCACCAACAAAAACAACAAACATATATAAGCAAAAAGACAGCACCTCACATCGCCATCCCCAATCGCCTTCATCATCCACCCGAAGTAGCACAACACACAATCAAGCCCCCCCCCCCCCACCCCTATGTGAGTGTGTGAGAAAAATGATACGTCCAATCAAAAGCTACAGAAATGTGTGAGTTTTGCGCCAAAATTCCCGCCTTTTATGGGCACTTGCAGCAACCTTAGTGACTCAAGTGATTCACAGACATTCAACAGGAAAAGACTGCAACATGGAGTTTTTCTCATAGAAAAGTGAAAAACTATTGATGAAGAAAGTTGAAGAGGGTTGGCAAAACAACAGCAGATGGGGAAAAAAACAGAACGAGATGTCAGCTTGTACTAATGATTTTTTGATCAGAGCTATATGCTTCTATTTTATAACCCGTCATTTTACTCAAAATCGTTCATTTTTATAAATTGTACATTCAGAACAAAAAGTTATCATTACTTGTAATTCCTGGATTACTTCATATCCTTATACCTCATTATGATTTTTACCTGAAGCATTTGTATTAATTAATGTACTCCGTTTTCATAAATTTGTCAATTCGTGGTGTGCAGCGGCAAATTTTGGCATTTTAGGATTTTGGAAAATTTGAAATAAAGGCTGACAAAATGATGAATGTCGCAGTATGTATAAACACAATAAACACATTACCACATGGAAAGTGCTTTGTATGGTATTTACGCACTCGTTTTTGTATCAGAAATCTCACCCATTCGCTGTGCTCAAACATTCGATTTCTGATATGTCATAACTCCTGCGTAAATACTGTACGCATGCACTTTCCATGAAGTACTCTATATTTAACTAAAAAAGGAAGTGATAATGTTGAATAATTAAGTTAGATATCTAGGGAAACAAAAAATTAAAACGTGTACAGTTGCGTATAAGAAAATGTCCGGGTCCAGTCTTTGATCCTCCCCGAAGAGAGACCTCTTTCGGGGGATGAGTGCGGGCTCATTTTCCCGAACAGCGGCTGGTAATCGAGCCAAACCACATTCTTGAAATAATTATTTTGGGTGTAACTGTTTTCCATTTTTACCTAGGTGGTGTTCAAAGTTGAATTACTGCACTGTTTGGAGGACAATTGTACACCATGTCTGCTAAAGGAAGCACACAACTTGTAAATATTATAGAACTCTTCAAGGACTATACTCATCCTTCCCGTAACTGCTATGGAAAAAAATTAGAGGGAGCTCCCAACTTAAAGTCCATGAGTTCTTCAATCTGTCTTGCTTTGTCTGATACAGACATGGGTAAAGGTAGCGTCAAATCAATACTATGTCTTGCTCAGGAAAACATTCTGAAACCGTGGAGTGAAACACTTGATGAGTTTTTGGTGGTCATTGATGGCATTAAGGAACATCTTAATGAAATAGACCTTCTGTATGCTCTAAGTGCTTTTGCATTTGCAAAAGGTGATGCAGCAGGTTTGGAGGAAGTGCAAAAATTAGCGATCGAGTACCAATGTCTTCCCAATGCTGGCATTTTACTGAACATCCTTGGGGTGATGTTTAGTGAAAATAGAATGTATGAGAAGAGTAAAGAATGTTTTGATGTAGCTGCGAGTTGGTTTTGTCGCCAAAAAGACAGTCTGAAGTGTGCAATTGTTACTTTGAACCAAGCAGTTCTTAACAGAGCTTTGGGGGACTATAAAATGGCACATGGTCTCTCTGTCACTGCAGCCACCTCGTGTCTTGAAATTTCAACAGAAGATGTTCACCTGCTACTTAAGTTGCTTACAAGAATTGCTGGAATGTTGAAAGAGTTTGGAAACCAGCAGATGATCCATGCCCTGTGGAATGTTGCACTCTCTGGCATTAGTGGTGCCAATGGTACATCTGATTTACCAATCCTGTTGATGAAAATACAGCTTGGAAAGGTTCATGTTGAAGAAGTACCAGATTTACTCTCCCATTTATATGTGTTGCTGGATAATCCTGTTTCAGGAGATCTAAATGCTGAGCTTTTGAAAGGAGTTATGATAACAGCAGATAGCTATCACAGTATTGGGCACAATCAAGTGGCCTGCAATTTACTGAAGAAGTTGAGAAGTGCTTTCCTGTTGTGTCATGGTCAAAAGAGTTCTCTTTATGGGTCACTGCTTTGCCAAATTGGTCGCTTCCTTATTGCGTCTGGAAAGTTTGATGAAGCTGCAGATACACTCAAAAATGCCAAAGAAATTCTTAACTGGTATTTTGGCGAAGGGCACCACATGGTAGCATTGTGCGCAAATTTGTTGGGTCTCTGTTTCTTGCTGAATGGTAACACCAAAGAGGCCTTAAAGCACCTGAATGAAGCTCTGGCAAAGTTCAGGGAGCTAAATCCTTATCATCTAGAAATAGGAGGGATTCTTCTAAAACTTGCCCTTTTGAGTATTCAAGAGGGGAATTTCCAGAATGCCCAAGATTCTATTCAAGAGGCTTTGGATCTCCTTATCTCAGCATGTAGCAAGCAGTCTCCTAGGACAGCCATTGGACACTTCCAATCGGCCATGTTCTTCCTGAAAGATGAGGTTCTCTGGAGTTTTGCAGAGGAGAAACTGTTAAATGCTGTAAACATTTTTGAAGAACTTGGACTGGAAACTCACCATTCAGATGTCTTGGTGTGCCGTAGTTTGCTTGGTGTCCTACAGATCTTGTTGGGTAGAAGTGAGGAGGCAGAAAAGAACTTTGAGGAAGTTCAGCAGCAGTTAGTCTTCAATGATAAATCCTGTCTGAAATGTAAATTTATTCCTGCTCCTTCGTTCAGTTTACTTGTACCAGCAGTAACAGTCGGTCTAGACACTTCCTTTTATCAATATGCGAAGGTTGTATCTCTTGTGAATCTGGTGCACATGAAAACGGGCTGTGAAAAACTCGACTATCTTCATGCACTCATCAGCTGTTTGGAGGAGAATAAAATGGATGAGCTAGAAATATGGGATTTTGGAGGCCAAGATATTTATTACATTTCCCGTAGACTGCCCGTATCTGACAAACCTGTAGTCTTTGTATTATCCTCGGATCCCAAGGCAGTGCATTTAGATTCTAGTGACACAAAGGACTCAAACTTGTTCTTATCCTCTGTAAATAGCACATATTTCGTCTTGTTTTTGAGAATTCCACACATTTTTCAAGGAGCTGTTAAGTTCTTAGACTCTGCCCTTTATCAGGCAGTTGTGACAATGTGTTTACAATCAACTTTCCAAGCGGATGTTTTTATGCGAAACGATTTCTATAGAGAACTGGTAGTATCAGCACATGACATTTTCTCTCTTTGTAAAGAGATTGACTGTTTACCTCTTCATGTTCAACTGGAATTATCAGAACTGCAAGAACAAAGTGACAACTTTGACTTGAATTCTTGGCAGTCTTCAGTGAAATTTATCAAGCCGTCATTGCAAATGTCTTACCTGTCCTGTGAATGTTGTAACCAACGTGAGGCTGAAGTTCTTTTTGACCATTTGATTCTTAATAACTTTCATGAAAAATTGTGTTTGTCAGTAAATGGGTTTAAGTGTGTAACTTCTAATGTTTGGCCAGTGCATAATGTAGCGTGTTTTGTTTTTGAAAATCCCAGGAAATCCTTAATGTCTCTTTTTGTGGAGAATAAGACAGTTATTGTAAAATGTTGCTCAACGGAATCAGATGTCACTTGCTTTTTTTCAGTAGTACAAAATGCTCTGCAAAACACACTACAGTCTTTATCTGACATCATCACAGTAAACTTTGTACAGTCTTTATGGTTGCCTTGCAAGGATCTTGGCGCTAATGGTGGTGTTGAAGAATCTCCTGGGAGAAACTGCACTTTGGATGGGACCAGTCATAGACTCTGTTCTGGTTTCACGTCAGAAACTGAGAGTTCAATGCCAAGTGCATGCAGCAGAGATGGAGAATCAGATGTCATGGTAAAACCGACTGTTGGAGTGCTGCCGAACAAGGTAGATGGTTCATCTAACTGTTTTAAAACATGTAATTTCCTTTGTCAAACTGCTCCTAAGGCTGTAATTTCAGTAAGCCTGTGAGCAGGTTTCGTAAGTGGAGTGAGGTGATGCAAGCCGAACATAGCCTAGAGGAGAAAAAAAGGCGGGGGAGCCTGTAGACTGATTTAATGCCGCCCATTTGCAAATAACAGGCAACACATATGGCAGCGGCATGTCAATAAGGAATTAAGACCTGTCAAATTATTGTTTTGGCATTTGAATGCGTCAGCTTCAATAACATTTGCGCACACGTGGGTATTTTTCACGGAATGAGGAATATATTCGTTCAATATTCATTGCTTACTTGTCAACAGTCAGCAATGTGACCAATCAGATCGTGATACCAGAATCTGGTATCATAGATGGGCGGCATCAAAACAAAGTCTATTGGCTCCCCCGCCTTTTTTTCTCCCTAAGGCCACGCTTGGCTTGTTTTGTTTGCCAATTTTCTCTTTCACCCCGCTCCACTTGGGAGCCTGTTTGAAGGCCATTTCTGTAGTGAGAGTGTTAGAGTCGGACTATCAGAGTCGTGAGAGTGCATCAGTAATAACCGGCAGCCAGCTTTTTTAGCCTGCTACCGAGTAAAATAAGCTGGCTACCATTAGTTTGAAAGTGAGTCAAACATAACAAATTTAGGAGGATTTGGGGGGATGAATACTTTCCCTGAGAGACCAGCTTCTTAAAACCTTATGAAGGCCCTGGTGCATACATGTATGACCTCGTGAAAATCGTAAATCGGAGTCATAAGGGGTAAGCATGATGGAATAGGCGTCATAAATGGTTTCATAAACTTGTCGGTTCATAAGGAGTTTCAAGAATAAGAACCACAGGGCATGCGGGGCATGCTATTATTTGTTTATACTACTGCCCGCCAAAGATTAGTAATTTTCACATGTAGGTATTTCAAATTCAGCTGAAATACCATTGCTCTAAGCCAATCAAATTGCAGAAATTTCTCATGTAGTCACAAACTCCAGTATTCCATTGTAATATAAGCAATAGTGTGATTGCTGGGAAGTAAACCAATTAGGTCAAGTATTACAATTCCAACAACATCTTTTTCACACGTTTGTTTTCTTTTTCCACAAATATATACAGCAAAGTGGGTTGTCTTCTTTTCACTTTGACAATGATCAAAGGATGAAGGAGGCGTTAAGGCCAATACTGTAGCTTATAAATGTTAATAATGTCACTTTCTAATAATGCAACTATTTATTATTTTGAACTGGAACAAGGAGGTTAGAATGATCTGACCGGTTTCTATCCACGGCCTGCATTGTGGTCTGACCAAGCTATGAACCGGATCATCCCTTCTCTGGCTGGTACTCTAACAAATGTGTTAACCATGTAGAGGTTTATCATGATTATCTGGGTATGTTGTGATGGCTGGAGTGATATTTTGTTAATGAATGTTTTAAGACAGTACTCCAAAAAATATTCAGAACCAAGACATGCTAATGACTGACTAGTTTTTCTTAATAGGTTGTGGAAGCCAGGCCTCTTCTTAGCCATCCCTGTGATAAGTTAGGAGCAGACATAGATGTTTGTTTGTGCCTTCTGGAGTGTCTTCTGAGACAAACCAGACCTGCATCCCCTACAGAAGAAGAGCCGATGGTATCATCTTCCTTTGGCAGTTGTTATAGTGACTTTCAAGTCAATCAGAACCATTCAATCTCATCTTCACTCAACTCATTACCGGGAAGTCCTTCAATATTCCCAGAATCTGATGATCTTGTCACACCAAAGGAGCCATTTTTTGGTAGTTTGTCACCTGATAGAAGTCTGGCAGGAGGAGTTTCCAATTTTTGTCCTGACCAAGGTGATTCAGAAACCTCTACTTATAGGCACTTGTCAAATCATGAGGAGGCAAATGGAGGAGTCAGTCCTTCCACTAACACAAAGGAGACAGAGGATCTAAAAGATTTACATGAATTGCAGTCATCCAGCTCTCGATTTATTGATGTAAATGAAAAAAACTTGAGTTCTACTGTAGGCCACAAAAATGGAGCACAACAAATTCATGCAAGTGACACAGAGGCATGTGTTGCAAATGACAGCAAGCTTCTTACAAGCAGTCAGAATGAGCATTTGCATGTAAACCAAAGTCAGAAGCAAGGCCCCTCGGTTGAACCTCTTGAAAGTATTCCGAGAGCATCATGTGCTGCAGTTTCAGAGAAAAGTGTCTCGGAAGCTCTAACTAATGATTTTGAGAATGGGAGGACAACTTTGCGGAACGAGTTCTTTGATTTACAACAAGAGGTAAGGCATCTTAAGGATCAATTAAAGAAAAGCGAAGAGGAGAATCAGAAACTTCAAGTTGAACTGGGGAAATATCTGTTTCTTGAAGAAAAAGAAAAGCGCCGTGGAAAGCTCCTTGATTGGGCAGCTTCAGTGCAAGAGCCAGGTCAGTGAGGTGTAACTGAAACTGCTGAACAGAAATTATTAGAACTGCTTCCTTATTGAGAATTTCAGAGTTGTGGATAACAATAATTTTTATTAAGGTCTTCTTTGATTGAGGGGGAGAAGGGTGGTATTAGAGGCAATCAAAGAAGGGCAAAAGAAAAAGCAAAAAAGCAAGACTTCTGTAATAATTATAGAGTAAGAGGTCCTTTATTACTTTAGCAGTGACAATAAAATCCAACCTTTAATTCCCTAGAGAGTCAGAAATCAAATTTAGAGGACAATCCCAAATTTCTTTGGTCAAAATTAATAAACTATTACAGTGAAACTTAGTCAAGCTTTCGAAGGAGGAATAAAATTTGAACTTGATGGTGTCAATATTTAGTTGATTATTGGTTTCAATATCCCGTTCTTCAGTTAAAGAATTGAAAGACTTCATTCAAAAATTGCATGTTGATTGGATTAGTTGACATCACTCATCAAAGCGGAACGATCCTGCATTCCAGTTCTAGATCCTGAATTCTCCTGAGAATTTTACTAAATCTTTGGACAAACTATCAAGTTCTTTGTGAAATTTTAGACTTCTGAAAAAATAAGAAGAGCTGTCTGTGTATGATGGCGTTATTTGTCTTTAAGTTTGGACTTTCACAGTGTTTTCAGTTGAGATATTCCAGATTGTTTTGAATTTTCAATTCTTCAACTAAGGCAGGTAGAGAGTGTTAAGGTGTATTGTAATCACTGGAGATATAGCTTGCAGGGCTGTGCCCTTCGTGTAGCAGTGCCCAGTGGCCCTTGGTGCCTTTCATTAATTTTGCTCTTGGTTGTCTTGGAAGTCTTAGGGCACTTACCATGAGTCAGAACTGGCTGGCCAATCCAGTCTAGTCATAAAGAGAATTTCACTATTAATCAGGACGGTCCAGCCAGGTTTGTCTATTCCTAAAAAGTCTACATGACAGGTAAGAGTGAATGAACTGACTCCAGAAAAGCCTATTAATTTTAATTTTCAAAATGGTTGATCTGGCTGATCGGTTCTGACATTTGGTAAGCCCCCTTAGTTATTTTACAAAAATCACACACTGGGCACCCTAGATTTCACAGGTTCAGAGTACTGGGCTACCCTTTATTTTTTTCTTCGACTGAGGGACACTGCTAGTAAAAGAATGTGTGTGCGTTAAGCTAGAAGAGTGTAGCTTTGAGCAATTTAGTCAACTGTAGTTATTGACCAAGGTTTTTCACTATTTTTTTTGACCAGTGTCTTCACCTTTTTTTCTTTAAGGGTCAGAAATTCATTCTGGGCAGGGCTTGTCAGCAAGAGAAGATAGATTATCAACCCATGTAAGGAATTCATCTGAGCGCACATCTGCACAAGATTGCAGTTTAAGTCCACAACCAAACAGATGTGAAAGGAAGCAGCATAACATTGCAAATGGAGCTTTGTTACCTACACATATTGCAGTAGATTCTGTGCACTTGCAGGGTGTTGAAGAAAACGTTAAATCATTAACAACAGAGGAGTTCGAAATTGAACAGAATCAAAATTCATCACGTGCATTCATTGAAAGTTCAACGGAAACCAGCAGTGACACCGCTGTCTCAAGTGCGAATGAAAAAAGCAGTGGATCATCCATGAAAAGTGCTCTCAGCACTGAAGAATTTCCCCAGTTCCCCACCCTTACCTCTGATGGTTATTTGTCAGATTCTAGTGAAAGTTCGTTACTGTCATCTAGTTTTGAGCAGGCTGCAATGGTGGCTGATTCTAGTTGCAACTTGCAGTGTTCAAGTGATACAGCTGATGGCTCACCAATTTTGACATCACTCACTAGTGAGGCTTTAAGAAATGAAGAAATCCCTCTTGACCCTAACACGATTTGTTCTGAAGAGAAGATTGAAGGCAGATCTCCAAAATTTGGTAATGCAGATGTGGAGTGTGATGGCTCTCCAATATTTGCATCAGTTCAATCTTATTCAATGTTTGAGAACAGTGGCTGGAACACGGCTAGCCCTGAACGAGAGCTTTTAGATAAAACAACGGAGAGGTCTGAACGTGAAGAAATCGAAGAAGGAAAAGAACTTATTGATTCTTGCGATAGAGCAAGAAAAACAGTACTGTGTGCCTCAAGTGGACATGCAGGAACAGATTCTTCAGGCAATTTTGCTAGTGGGGTTGTTACAACTCAAAGCATTGCAAATACGGGAAACTTTTTTTTAACACAGAAAGGTGCTTCATCAGCTGCAGAAAGACAACTTAGGATATCACCATCAGATGCAAAAGATTGGGAGCGTCTAGGTGCTAGACCGAAGCTTGCTCAACGTCCACATATTGAACCAGAGCCAACAGAGCCTGTTGTTTATATAACTGATGGCTTAGCTGGTGATTTCTTAGCAAGACACACCCAAGACAAGGCCCTTCATGACAGTATCTGTCAGACTGATGTTGTGCCATTCTTTAAGGACATTCCATCACAGGGGACTTCCTATATCGATGGTAATATGTCTCAATCTAACAGATTCCAGGCCACATCTGGGACATTGCCATATGATGGAATTGGAAGTCCACTTGTAAGTAGGTCTAATGGGCTCTTGGGTGGCTTCTCAAATGCGGAACCTTTCAGTGACAACTCAGGACCTTGGCCCAGCCATTTGGGAAATGGTTCTTTCTCATTTTATAGTAACTATTTATCAAAAAATACTTCAACTGCTGCAGACAACTTTTCTCTTCAAAGTGATTTTGTACATAGTAGTCATAGATTTGCAGGAGTTGACCATTTTGACGGACAGACTTATTTCCCGTCAGCACAGCAAACGCCATATCCTCCAATGGCAAGTGACTCTGTTCTAAATAGTCATGCAGGAATGACTGGTTCGTGTTTTGCTGACCCTTCACGGACAGGTGCAGCACTAACTCTACCTGGGGATCATGTACATAATGCACCAAGATTTAATAGCTTTTCAAGTGAGCAGCTTACGGACCCTGCTCATGATGCAAATAGGTTTGCTGGTAATGACAACGCTTCAGCTTTTATTCCTAATCAGGGCACAGATGAGCCAGCTCAGAAAACAAATTTAGCGCTTGGAAATTCAAGGACAACAACTGGAAACATTGATGATGATGCAAATTCAGCTGCACGGTATCAGCTTGGAAATTCCACTTCCGATAGTGGTTTGGCAGCCAGATCTACTCATGATACATCTGTTTTAGAACCACGTCTGGGTGACACAGACAACAGTAGAGTTTCTGTGTTAAACAACACAGACTTTGGTACTGATTCAATAGAGGCCTCGGACAACTCGTTACTTGCTCTTGAACGGCGTGTTGCAGAAGCTTGTGCCCTTGTTGAACGCGTTCTTCGGGAGAGAGAGGAACGAGAACAGTTTGGAAGGGAGATAGAAAGGAAAGAACAGTTAATAAGAGAACAAAGAGCTCGAGAAAGACGGGAGAGAGAAGAAAGAGAGTTACGGGAAGCCGAAAACTGGCCACAACAACAAGAGGCCATCAACGCACGATCACAGTGGTTATGTGAACATTATCAGCGGCACTGCAGAGTACGATTCCCTTGTTGCACACAATTCTATCCATGTCATCGCTGTCACAACATCTCAAAAGCTTGTGACAATGAAGAGGCTAAAGCTTGTCATGCCACTCATCTGAAATGCTCTCACTGTCAGCATGAACAAGAGGTAATTTTTATTTCATTTTACACTTAAATAAATTATTAAATAATGAAGACTCGATTACCAGTGAGCCGCTGTTAAGGAAATGTCTTTCTGGAGACCAAAGTTCCATTTTGAATCAGAATGGTCAGAATTGTACCCTGGGTGCCAGAGGCTTTTCATACGCGGTTCCCGGTTTCGGTCAAGTCTTAAAAAGTGACCCGCGTGAGAAAAAACCAAAACGAAGCTCCCCCTCGCACGCGAGAAAAAACCTGTGGTACCCAGGGTATCAGAATTGTGGTCTGTGATATAAAATTCAATTGAATGACATTCTCCAGAACTTGTTTTTTTTTTGTCTTTCTTTTAATTGTTTGTCTCCATTGAGAAATTTTGTAAAGATAGTTCGACTCAAAGGTTAGGGTCACAGTGATTTTGTTACAAATAGTTATCGTGACTCCTGGAACTCATCTTGTGAAAAAATATGAGTCCCTGTCCATAACCAATGAGTCCCAGTTCAAAAAAAGAATTAGTGCTAAATTGAAAATGCTTGGGCCTTTATATAACCAGACAGTTATATCAAGAGACAGACGCCAAAACTCTCTATTACAGTTTACAGAAATTAAAATATAGTCCTTCTATTTATTTAAAGCACAAAAAAGACTAAAATAATTATCTTATCTCATCTTTAAACTACAGCCACAGAAATACACGAACAGGATATTCTATCAAAAAAATCTTCAATTTGATCGATTAATCTTTGCGTCGTACACAATGCTATGAATTACTTTGCATCTTTGGGGATTTTTCTGCGTCAGGGATGCAGGACGTAGAAAAATCACTGGGGTCAGATTATGCAAGGTTAGGAAACACCGAGCATTGAAATTACCGAGCAGGAGATGAAAAATCGTGTTGTTTTTTTTTAATTTTTTTTTTTCATTCCTTGTCTACAGGTAACATTGTTAGATACAAGAGAAAATGAGCTAGATCATTCTCTCTTGGTAGATAAGAAAGCTGACGGAATTGTTGTCGCCAAAAGCCTTTTATTTTCAAGAAAAATAATAATATGATCGGTTTCTGTGGTGGAGGTCTCAAAATGGCCTATTTTCAACCTCAAACTCACTAAGATTAAGTCTTCTGGCGTTCGCGAAAAAAAGCCGCGCGATAGATTTGGACACTTTCCATCACGAGAAAAACCCTTTTTCTTTCACCGGAAAAGAATTTTGGGCTTTTTCGAGACACCTCGGGCGGACATATTTTAAGATCAAATAAAGAACAGGTTTTCAAGAAAACAAAAATTTTATTTTAATAGATCTTACCCGCTGCATTGTTTATCTTGTGATACCAGTTCAAATTTTCCCAATTCTTGTTTAATGACACATTTAGACCTGACATTAATCTAAATCATACTTAAGAACCTTTGGCCCAGCGAAACCGTGGGAGTAATAATGATTAAAAATTTATAACCCGCCTTTTCCATGTAAATATGATTAAAAGCGCGTCACAACTAATGCGAAAAGTCTAAATTTCCTCGTTTCGAAATGTTGCAGAGCGAAGTATATTATTTTTTCCTCACTCTTATTGTGAATTGCCAGTATTAAGTCTTTTTTCTCGGAAAAAAAGTGAGTACCAGAACTCTAGCGCGATCGGCGATCGATGTTTTTTCATCAAAGCACTGTCGCATCGAAATCAAGAATTGCATTGCATTACTACCGTGACAACGTGACTGACATTTTGACCGGAAAAAACACATTTTTGTCACTTTTCCTAGCCCTTGTTTTACTTCATTGCTTAAATGATGAAGCGGAATGTGTATAAAAATATGTAAATTATAGACCACTTCGAGACTGCGGTGACGGCTTTCTGAGGTTAAATATTAGTGGACGGGTATTCTGTAATCTAGCCCAAATGTTCGATATTTTACGGACTTCCGAGGCAAACGAACTTAACAAAATGGCGACGGAAGACGAAGATCTCTCAGCTTCTGTTATAGTTTTGTAGATTATTTTCTGGAATGGTCTTGTTTTTCGACGAGTATTGCATCGAACTACGAGGCTGAACATTGAAATAGCTGTACTTTAAAGTGTGCGATGTTGTCGACGAAAGGGGATGGTTTTAATAGCTGGTTAGGTAACTCGACGTAGAAATTGTCATTTTACAAAGTAACATGTAGAAATTGTGCCATTTTGTATCGACTTAGGTTTTAGTCGTTCTTTCGGAGTTTTCTCTCTATTTGTTCTGCTTTCCTGTCTTCAAAATAAAGCTTGTGTCACATTGGTTCGATATGTGATATTGGCTTTGATGTATGTTTCTGTTTGGAGTGATTAATGATATGGAAATAAGTGACCCCGTATCTGTCGTTTAGCATAGAGTTAATATGTGGTTGAAAACTTGAGACATTTTTTTTTGGTACCGAATGCGAGTTAGCTTCAAGGAAAATATGTCCCAAACAGCCTTGGTCCGTTTTGACATGGTACTTTTAAGATCAATGCCATAAAATAAATTTCTGTGTTCTTAGTTATTTTAGCGTCATTTTCCTTCCCAGAAATTCTGGAAATTTGCCAGTTAAAGGGTTCAGCATTTCAGAGTCGCTAAAATTATGCCAGTCTGGCTTTTGTTTTATCTCACTCTGATTAGAAAATCAACTTTGCAATGGGAAAACCTACAAGAAGTATAAACTATAACGGACATTTAGGGTTCAGATATCTGCGTTTGTACGTTTCGAAATTGGACGTTTTTACTCCCTGAAATGTCCTAAACTTCAGAGCCATCTTCCAGAGATTTCATTCAACAGCTCCGGCCAATTTCCAGGTATTTTAATTCTAGAAAATAACAGGCTTTTGGCGGGAACAACTTACATTAGGTTTTTTATCTAGATCTATGATCAAAAGTTGAAAGAAATCAATTTGTCAACTCTTTCACGAAATCAAGATTTTTCTCGATTTTTTTTCTAACCGTGGCTTTTTGTGGCGCAGGAAACAATTGAGTAAATGAAATAAAAACAGCAACCAAAAAAAAAAAAACAAGGAAAAAAGAAACATTGGAAAATGCCGGTTTTGCGGAGGGACCGAACTTGTCCTGATAGGAAAAGGCAGATACGTGAAGGGCCGAGTCACGTTACCCACTAGACCGCTCAGGCATCTCGTACAACTTCTCTGTTTATTTAAGTACTGGCTGAGACGAGGCTCCTCGGGGGGTAAAAATGGCGAATTCCGGGAGCAAGAAATGGAAGCCGAAATAAAGGCCGCCGCCCATTTCTCCCCTCAATCTCCCACTCAGTTCGCTCCTTTCTTCGTGGTGGCCCCCGCTCTTTGTCCTTTTTCCTCAATAAAGAGCCTGGTCCCAGTGCCGACCAGTGTTCCCATTATATGACCCGCGATTCAGGTGTATGATCACTAATCACTGGCAACATGACGTGACACGAAAATGGCTTCCCTTAGAAAAACTAAACAAAATCAATTAAATTAACTGGAAAAACCGTGGACGAAAATCCTGCTGGTTATAAACGTTGGATCTCTAGGAAAAAACAAAACAAAAGCAAGATTTTGCCCAATGGAATTTTCAGTTTTAACGGACAAAATATTAGGTGGAGATGGAGAATTTTTTTGTGTTATAATATTGCTTCATTTTTAGGGTTTTACGTGTGTCGTTTCATCTCTCTGATGATACAGATAATATTAAGCTGGCTTTATAATAGATATTTTTTTCGAGACAGTCGTAATTTCTATATAAAATCGCAAATTTAAAGTTACTAATAAATTAAGTACTCGAGATTCGGAGAACTCGGCGTTCGGTCTGTTCTAAAATATAATTATTCCTTGAAAAAATTTGCGATACATTGTATATTTCTCTTGAACTTTTAATGATTTCTGTTCATAAAATCGTTGGAAAATGCCGAGGAACATATTTTCAAAGGTTATAGTAAAACAAAATGTACAGTCAGTATTTATAAAGTACCGAAAACATTGAAAACGTTTGGAACAAGTTGTAAATAAAAACACCCTTATTCTCGCAAGACTTTGTATTTTTCTTTTGCTTAGGATAATCCTTTTAAATTCGTGAATTTCTGCGTTTTCGTAAATGGAAAATGCGTGCGGCGGAAGTAAATTTGATTGGTGGTTCGGCAAATGTAAATAAATCAAAACTAAAAGTGGCGGACGTTTCATGAACATTTGTAAAAGGGGTTATTGACCATTTTCAAAAATGTTCCACAAAATCCTGTTGGACTTTTGGGGCGTTTCAGCGGAAAATTTCCGTGAGCAACGGAACATCCGAAAAAAAATATTCTTGATTTTCGGACAGGATGTTCCAAAGGAAAATTTGTGTTTTTTTTTTCTTCAAAGTCATCTTTGAAATCAGTTTGAAGGTCTATTCCGGGAAATAATTTACCATTCCTGAATTTTGCTTACCATTTACCCTAACCGTGAACCGACCGGTTTGCCCATATAAATGGTAAACAGCCAGGATGTCTTGTTGATCCGCCTTTCCGCCGGAAGGTTATTTTCCTCAGTAGTGAAATGAATATAGAGCCTGATCACAAGACAAGGTGCCGTAACTGATAGTTATACGGTCAACTTCTGTTGTTACAGGAATTTCTAAGGAAGAGAGCGAAATCAGTTGTTCTTGATTGGTCTTTGCCGGGTTTCAATTAAATGCATTAGCCAGGCCGGAAAGAAGGAAACCCGAGAGGCGACAAGGCCGAGTGCTCAGCGCCTCAGTTTTGTAGTCCAAGGTTGTGCGCTCGAGTCCCCTGCTCGTTCGTTCCGAGTTTGCCTTGTGAATGAGATTAAGATCGTATTCAACTTTATATTTGTGTGTTGGGGGGAGGGGTGGGTAAGGAGAGTGGTCTGCTTTTGGATCTTACTCCCATGTTTATAAACATGCTATTTGCCACCTCAAAAGCCTCTGGGAGACCAGGTATCGTAAATGGTTTGGTTGCCCCTTGCACTTGGGACTAAATCCTCGATTAAACTACTTTGTGATTGTTGTCACAGATTGGTGAAGATAGTGCAAAGTGTCGTAAGTGTGGAGGGAAAATGTCTGCTTATTTCTGTGCCATCTGTAAACATTTTACCAGTGTGGACAAGAATCCGTACCATTGTGAAAAATGTGGAATATGCCGGTAGGTCTACATCCTTCTAGCAAAATAACGATTACCCTAAATGGTCTAATGTGTACTGGGATAAACGTCATATTAGACGTCCCTCTTTACGCCCCCTGTCCAATAGACGCCCTGCATAAAAATTGCTCCAAAATACTAGGAAATAGCGAAATAGAGCAAAATCATTTAATTTATTCAGGCTGCATCTTGTTCAATGCCAAGGATCCTGGCATCGAGGTTGGAATGTAAAAACTATATACAGTAAAAAAACAAAAGCCACCTTTTGTTTCAAGAACCAATGCGCTTCTGGTTGGCACGTTAATATCAATAATAACCTTAGTGTGTTGCAAAAGGACAATGGCACGATGACGTCATTTTACTACAACTACCAGAATCCCCGAGTTTGTTGTTTCCTTGCGCAAATTAAGGCTATTGTTCCTTAATCCTCAGCGGGATTGACAAATTTAAATAACAAAGCAAAACCGAAATGAATTCTGGTATTTGTAGTCAAAAATTGTCCTATTGTATCAACACTTAACTTTTTGTCTTCCAGAATTCACCAGGACAAGTCATTCCACTGCGAGGTTTGTAATGTGTGTTTAGACAAACGACTCGAGGGAAATCACAAATGTCGCCCAGATTCAGGTCATGATGAATGCTGTATTTGCCTGGAGGTGAGTTTTAATCTGCTGCGCTTGTTTCAAATAGCAATCATAAGCTCCTCATAAATTTTTTAAGGAGTGTTTTTTTAAGTACAAGTTTAATCCGAAAGAGTGTAGACGTCGAAACAGGATGGTCGTAGATGCGGTTTCAGTGACTTTTTTTCTTTTGAGTGAGTTGCTTTTGAGGGGTAGGAGGCTGGTTCATATCTCTAACGCTAGAGTACATGTTCGGTATATGTTCTGTAAGGCTGCGGTTGCAGTAAATTGCAATGCTGAAACAACTGTCTTTTCCATTAATTGTAGGATGCATTCAGTGGTTGCCAGATATTACCATGTTCACACAAGGTTCACAGAGAATGTGCAATTGCTATGATACAAAACGGCATGTAAGTTATCACGTTACTTTGCCCATGACCGGCTTATTTCTTATGAAATAAGCTGGTTTAAAAGTAAGATAATGCTTATAGTAGGTTTTTTTCGGGGGAGGGGGGGGGGCGTGGGGGAATAGTTAGTCACGTGATCAACTTTCTGCAATCATGAAAACCGTTCGCTTTTAGAAATTTTGGTAGCAGGAACTGAAGTAGCGTATTAAAATTAAGTAACCTGTGAATTTTCAGCTGTTCATCTCAAAAGGAGCTATTGCAACAGCCACCTAAAATTAGAAGGATTTGTATGAGAAAACCAACTCTCCCCACCCAGTCACCCTTGAGTGGTTTTCCATACAAATCCTTGTCAATTTTGACATTTTCAAACTGTCGTTAAATCTTTCCCTTACGCATTTAAGGGCTCAAATTTCCTGTTATAAAGAAAAGGAGATTTCATTGAGCCCCATAATGTTTTCGGAAATATTTACGACAGTAATTTTCAAAATTCCCAAGGGTTTTGTATGGAAAATTTCCTAGATCACGGTTGGAAAAACTGAGATCTCGGGAGCCGAGCCAGCCCGCCCTCTCACATAATCTCATCGAAAATTTTACAAAGGATTTAGGGCCTCTTCATATAAGCCTGTGATCAAGCGCTCCATTTGGGGGATATCGTGAAAAGTAGACGCGGGAGAGGCAAGCAAGAGAAGACGTGACAATTGCGGAGCACAGTTGCAAACTGACTTGCACCTTCCCACATTTATCAGGCACGATATCTAAAATCAAGGTGCCTGTAGGAAGAGCAACTTAAAACCTGCTTGCGTTTCTTGGAGTCGATTCAAAATTGTATCAAAAATAGGGGGAAAAGCGAGGAACCCAGTCCTTTCCAACCTCAGCCTGTTGTCGCGAGTGAAATGAATTAACTGAGTCGCACGAAGAACCATCGCTGACCGTTGTTCGTGAACTTATCCGCGAGTTTTACCCTCGAATATTTGAAAATCAAGCGTGGAATTTTGATACAGGGAAACCTGTCCTTCATGACTTGTTCCACCAGGGTAAAGAAGTGACATATGAACACTTCATCCCGGTTACCGGGATGAACGGCGGGATGAATTCTGGCGGTCCGGATGGCATCGTCTTGCATTGCTTGCTGTATTTTTCACATCGTAAGCATCCCATTAAACTGCAGTGATACAGCTTTAAGAGTTACCGAAGCTATGATAGGCCCGAAAGTTAATTTTTTTGTATTTGGCCACGATTTCGTCCCTAGGATCTTTGGCCTTTTCCCATCTCGGAAACCGGGCTGAAATTTCTCATATGAACCCAAGGAAATTAATCTCGGTAACTGGGCTGATGTGAGGAGGCCCTTAAAAGAAGCCTTCGCTCTGTCTTTCTGCACCGTTAATGTTACAGACCGTTAACAGCATGCAGTGGAAGGATCGTACGCTCCATACAAAACGGTAGCGTTGCTAACAGTCCGTATTCTGAGCACATACGAAGCGTGCACCTCATTATAACATCAGGGCACGGTGTGTTACGGTTCCTACGTCCATGCGGATCGTAAAATGACCTATACGGACCGTTACGGTGCGGTTATATTGAACAATCCATTTCTTTCGAACCATTAAATCAGTTTAGAAAATTGACCACTTAAGTCCCTATAAGGCAATCAATTAGTGCCGGCAGTTACTACAGTTGCTGCCTCCGAGAAAGTTGACATGTAGATGGGAAGGAAGAGAAGAGTTCAATCGCTCGTTTTAGTAATACTCTAGTTCTTGAGAGGTTTGTAAATAATTTTTATTTATTGTCTCTTTCAGTCGTACCTGCCCGATATGTCGACACCCATTATACAGTCAGTCTAGGGAGTGAGTTTCCTGATACAGGTTCAAGCAGCCTTATCCAAGCTGACGCTGAAGGGCAACCCCGCAGGATTTCAGTGTATTACACTGTGCCACAGAACCAACGTCTGGGAGTTAGAGGTCTTGATTTTGAAACAATGAGTTCTGATTGTCATGATAGGCTCATGGCTTTTGCCAAACTTTGTCATTGTTTGTTAACAAGACGCTTTTGCAGTCCTGTGTAGTCCAAGTTAGTAGCGTTTGTTCCCCGCTAGTTTTACCAAATAGCTGCCTTTTCATGCACAACTATTTAAATCGTTTGTGATAGTCGAGTCTTGCGTTGTAGCCTTTCAACCTCGTTTCCGGGGACAAGTAGGACAGGACCCTGGGAACGAGGTTTGTAGCCTTTGAGCAAGCTCTCGGTGTTGGGAGTGAGGGGGGTGGGGTCGGGTGTGGTGAATTTTGTGTTTGCCCACAGGCTATGTTGCCTATGCTCATTGGCAAGGCTAATTGATAATTTATATGATTTTCCAATTACAAATGGTGAGTTGGAATTGCTGTTATCTTTTTAATGTTCTTGTAAGTTGTTGTTGTTGCTGTTGCTTTTGGAAGACAAAAGTTGTTATATTTTTTTACGTCATTCTTATTCTTGGCGACTGATCGATACCTTAACTAGAGGAAAAAGATATTTTTCTATCAACATGAGTTCCTGTTCTTTTATTATCTATTGTTAGCGTAATTTTACTTAACCCGTGAAAAAGGTAGTAGAGTACTACGCGCTATTGTACAATAATTCCATTGTCTTCTTTTTTTACTTGGAGCTATTTTTCTCTAGTTGTTAGTATCTGTTTCACGGGTCAAGGAAAATCACTCTATTATGCCAATGAAAAAAAATTGCTAAAACATAATAAAATTTGAATTGAATCAGGATCGTGTTTTCTTGGTGAATTTCTGTCCATGTATGTGGGGCAGATAATCGGGTTCTGTGGATACAGTAGAAACTCGATATAGCGAAGAGACAAGGGACTGGCCAAATCTGTTCGCTCTAACGAGATTTTATGGAGGTTCTTTTCCTTATATTTTACAAGCTGAAGTTTAATCATACACTTAAGCGGACCCCTTATCTATCGTTCAGGACGATAGCTTTGGCGCCTATCCAGACAATCCAGCTCCCCTCCCCTCCCAGCCAGCTGACCCCCCATACACCTGAAGACCTCTCAAATCTCTCTTTGTGGAACTTTTAACTTGTATGTTTTGTTTTCCCATTTCAGACCACGTGATTGTACCCGATTGTGCACGTGTATGTTTGCATAATGATGAAATTTCCTGGAGAACTTCACGTGGTCTGTATTGGGAAAGGAAAAAAAACAAACTTAAAAGGTATTATGTTAGTTGGTCTTTAATATTTTCATGCATCACTTAACAGTTTTGCGCCTCAGTTGAGTGAGGTTTTGTTCATTCTCGTTCCCACGGTTCTCTCCCTTCCTTCCCCGAGCGAGAAATAGCCTGTTCCAGGTGTTCAGACCGTGGGGACAGCTCAAAGAGATGTGAGCAGAAAAAAATTAAAACTTGGGGGGTGGGGGGGAGCACTTTTCCTGCATATATTTTTTCTCGCTGTCTTTCTCCACCATTCGAACGCCTGGAACAGGCTTGGGTAGAAAGAAAGAGAGAATCAGAGAGAATCATTAGAACGAGGTTTGTAAGCGCGTAACTCGTCCCCAGGGTCTTCTCGTTTTATAACAGAGGCTTGAGCTTGGGCGTAAGCGAGCGTGAGTGAGCCCACAAAAACAAACCGCTGGACAACCATCACCCTTCTTCTTCTTCTTCTTCTTCTTCGTGACTTCTTCGGTGATTCCTCGACTGGTGTGGTGTAAGATTTCCTCCTCGTTCTTTTACTTGATCGTACTTTTGCCGGTTTAGAACTGAGAATTTGTGTTTTTTACAAGCATGAGTGATCAAGCTGGTAGTTCCGATCATTTGACAACAGCAATTACCCAATTACGACAATATAATAAAGACGAAAGGATGGACTGTCAGTTACAAGAAAAACAAGGTAACTCAATCGAAATCGATTTAGTTTTATGCCCACTCCTGAGCTAAGCTTTACTATGCTACGCCAAAAGTGACAAAATATCAAAGATGCAACTTTATAATTCAAATACACCAATTCACTATCAAGATCGATAAAATTAACATCAATTTGCTTTTTGAATGTGTCAAGATTGTAGAATTTACTTTCAATTCCCACGTGTTTCATCTCATGTATCAAGAGACACGTTATCTAAATCAAGATGCATGTTTTTGAAATCAAGAAGGGAGACGACAATTTTTGATCAGTTTTGTTTCCGAGGGGGACTGAAACCGAGCACAGGGCTTGGAATTCAAGGTTTAAAAGTGTTGACGGGCCTGCACGACTCCTGCAGTTCGTAACCTTTTCGAAAAGATGCTCTGTCTGAATAAGTTCTTTTTCTGTTTTGGCCATGAAGATGTTAGCAAAGGCTACGGCCATTTTCGTGCCCATGGCTGTTCCATGGGTTTGAAGATAATCTTTCAAGTTAAATTGGAACGAGTTTTCTAGTAGTATCAGACTAAGCATTTCGCTTAAAAACCTGGTAGGGAC